CAGGGGCACTTTGTTGGGAACACATGTGAAGGCCTTCTTGGTAGCTGCTCCTAGGCTGTTGAATCTTTGCCACAGGAATTTAAGCTGCTTCCCTGCCTCAAATCAAAAGGAAAATACTTTTTAAAAGTTCTGCAGCCTTTTGGAGATGAACTAGTGGCTTTAACTAGTGTGTGCCTCTGGTTTATGCTGACTGCTATTGCTCAAGTGTTTCTAACAAGTTTACACTTAGTGCTGTTTAGAACTGCTTTTAAAAAAAACTTTTCATTAGAATCACTGTTTTTAATGGAACTTTGTTTTAATGCACACTGTGAAGGAAAGGTGGGATACAAATGAAATCAATCAAATCGACCAATACAATTTATTACTGATGTTTTATTAAAATATTGAAATTAATCAGTCAAATTTAATAACAATCAATCAAGAATTATTCTATATTCTCCCCCTTTCTCTCCTTATCCCATTCCTTCTCCAATGAGAAGAAATTCAAGATTATCAGAACTGGGCTGTAGCTGCAGGAGCATTTTAATACATGTTTGTTGCTGTTGTGTTATTTTTATGTTGTTGTTGTTGTTGTTCTTGCATCGTCAAGTCCTTTCCAAATAATGCAGGACCTTGTTGTTGATGGGTGCGTCTAATAATAATAATAATAATAATAATAATAATAATAATAATAAAAATTTATTTGTACCCTGCCCCTCTGTGCACAATCGGGGCGGCTAACCCCAATTAAAAATACATACAACTCTTCAACTCTTTTCCGACTTAGGGCAGCCCTAAGCCGAATCCATTCTGTGGTTTTCTTGGCAAGTTTCTGCAGAGCGGGTTTGCCATTACCATCCTCTGAGGCTGAGAGAGTGTGACTTGCTCAAGGTCACCCAGTGATCCCAGCCAGGGAGACGGGGTTTTCTCGGCAAGCTTTGTTCGGAGGAGGGTTTTTGCCTTTGCTTGGCCGGCTGAGGGATTCTGGGAGTTGTAGTCCCCAAAAAGAAACTTTCCCAAGCTCTGCGTATTTTTAGGGCTCAAGGCGAGCTTCTCAACAAAGGCCAGGGGGAAAACATACACAGCAACATCACAACAAAATCGTAGCGGGTCCTGACAATCTGAAGTGGATGATTCCGAAGCGATTCCTTTTCCACGAAAAATAAAAGTCAAGAAGTCAGCTTTCCAAAGGGAGCTTCATCCTTAAGCCGCCCAGGTCTTGTATCCAGGGAAGAGGCTCGTTTTATCCAGAGTTTGTCTTCCTACCCTTCCTTTCCCCCTCCCACGAAAAAAAAGGGGGAAAAAAGTGAGAGATGAAGAAATTTCAAAGGCTGTTGCGATGACTTCCTCTGCTTCTTTTTCGCAAGGATCTAAGGTCGCTGTTACCTGGGGGAAAAAAAGATTTCAAATAATATTTTGGGTGTGTAGATTCAATCTTTTGCCTTCCTAGGAGACCTCCGCATCTTATCTTGATGAAACAAGATGGGGAAAAAAAGGGAGGGGGAAAATGCCTTCAGAGCAAATTCTCAAAGGAAAGGAGATTGCTTTTTGTGGGGAGGACTACAATACCCATCATGCTGGCTGGCTGGCTGGCAGTGAATGATGGGCGTTGTCGTCCCCAAACCTAAGGGGTTCCCAAATTCTGCTCCCAAGGAATGGCAAGGAAAGGCTGGATTTACACCCCCTACCCATTCATTCTTCATGCCTCTCCATTTTTGCGCCACCTTCAAGCGATTCTCACACCAAGAACAGGATCACACCCGATTATAGCGCTATGGTCCCGCTTTTACTGTGATGGCTGCCTCCAGTGGAATCTGGGGATTTGCAGTTTAGGGGAAGGCATTTAGAATTCTCAGCCAGAGAGTTCTTAGGGCTCACTAAGCTACAAATCCCAAAATTCCACAGGAGGCAGCCATAGCAGTTAAAGTGGAATAATAGCATTATGACCGTGTGTAGTGTGATATTGGCTATTGGATTTTTTTTTTGCCTCCCTCTGAGGCTGAGAGAGCGTGACTCACCCAAGGGTCACCCAGTGGGTTTCCCTGGGCCGAGCGGAGAGTCGAACCTTGGGCTCCAGATATAGTCCTAGGTCCAAAAAACACTGCAGACATAGGCCAGCGTGAGACCACTTTAACTGCCCTGGCTCGGTGCTAGGGAATCCTGGGAATTGTACTTTATTGTGTCACCAGAGGGAGAAAGCCACATGTCTCACAAAACGACAGTTCCCAGAATCCCCTAGCATTGAGCTAAAGCGGTCTCAAACTGCGTTTTGGAAAGGCTGGCTCTCCCCTGCTAAAAATGTTGACACAGGGCATCCCAAAAAGAGAAAGGCAGGTTCCCCAATCGACCCTGGCGTAACCACAAAGTTTGGTTAGTGCCACAGCACACTACATTACCCAGAATTCCATAGTATTGGATCTGGGCAGTGAAAGCGACGTCAAACCGGATTATTTCTGCAGTGCGGATACAGCCTGTGTGTGTCGATGATGATGATGATGATAAACTATACCGATTTAAATATTGAAATGAATCGGTTTGTGTCAGAAGTAACTGGCTGTGGATGGGCAGGATTCCTATTTTATGCTCCAGCCTCCTTCCAAATCTCTTTGCAAGGAGTGCTTTTAAGTACAACGGGAAGCCTCGGTTCTCCTCCTTTGCAGGATCTTCACGTATCCTATATGCAGGCAAGTGCTGAGGTTTTATTCAGTCCCTTTTTCATGTATTTCGTCCCTGGATCTTCATGACCAAACCCATTGCCAGTTTTAACACAAAACACTGGTTCTAGCTAGCCCAGGATTTCCAACAGAAGAAAGTTAGCTACAAACTCTCTGAAATAAATCAGTGGCATCCTTGAAAGTGCCTCGGAATAAGTATATTTTAAAAAATATGCACAGGGATCTTAAATTGTTAACGCTAGTGAAGGCCGTTCCATCGGGATCTGCAAAAGAGTAACATCGTTGTTCCTATCATCCCCATTATTCACTTCTTGTTGTGTGCTTTCCAGTCCTTTCCGACTTAGGGGGACCCTATTCCAGGGTTTTCTTGCCACGTTCCTCCAGAGGCGTTGCCTTCCCCCTGAGGCTGAGAGAGTGTGACTTGCCCAAAGGCCACCCAGTAGCTTTAGACGGCCATTTTATTTTTACGGCCGCCTTTCCCCTCAAATTTTGAATCCAGGCGGCTTACAGTTTTTGTATGGTCCTGTCCTACATTTTCCTGCAATATCCCTAAGGACATACAAAGCTCAACATAAACAAACAAACAAACAAACAAAAATTAGAAGCCAACTATTCACACAATATGAAACCAATTTCAAACCTACACTAAAAAAAAAAAAAGGATTAAGAGCATTTCTAAACAGAGTTCGGTGCAAATAGTGCAATGCCTTCTTAAAAGCCCATTTCTTTAAAAAAAAACAAAAAACCTTCAGCTCTATAAAAGCCTATCAGGACAAAGTCCTCGCTTGCCCAATTGGAAGGAGGGAGATATCTGGGCCTTGAAGGGAAGGGAATTCCAATTCTTAGGGGCAGGTAAATCAATATAAATGCAAAGGTTTGTAGTTTTTGTATGGTCCTGTCCTCCATTTTCCTTGAATGTCTTACATTTTGCGGTGCCTTGTCCTCCTTTTTGGCTGGGACATCTGCTCATCTTGCTCCTGAGTAAACCCAGCCTAGGACCTCCTCAATGTACGATCGATCCCTCCAACTCAAAACCACTAGAACTTCAGCTCCTTTTCTTTCTTTATTCCCCTTCCCTTAGTGGACTTTTTGCGGTAGTCTCTTCCAAATATTTTAGCACGCCTCCTGCCCTTGGCTTCCCACTTCAAACTCCTGGAAAAACAAGGCTTCCACCTAAACAAAGGCTGATATCTTTAAGTCTTTAACCTCCAAGTTCTAAAAGCTGATACCTTTAAGTCTTTAACCTCCAAGTTAATAGATCCGTGCTCGCTTTTCAACTATTTTCTTTCTCGTATACCTGGGAATGCGACCCTAGTTACTGGCTACTACTGTTTCTTTCCTTCCTGGAAACTCTCTGAGAACCTCCAGCTGGTGGACCACCACTATGAGTAGCAAAGGGTTTCCCCTTTTACTTGGGAGAAAGGACCATCGGACTCAGTAGGGCTTTACATAAAGAGTACAGGGTTGCCTCTTTATGTCATTTCTGAACAAGGCAATTTTTCTTTCAAGACCAAAGAATGAGAGCTACCTTTAAAATTTCGTATGCCTAGATCCTGAACCCTTTGAGATCAGTGGTGGGATTTCTCATTTCATACATGTGGGCCAGATCTGTCTTCATGAGTGTGTGCAACTAGCAGTCCCACCATTATTTGTATTTATAAACAGAAGCACACACGCATTTACACACATGTGTATATGTAGACTGTGGCCTGTTTGAATAAAATAAGCGACAGCCAACTTTGAAATTTGCTGTTGTGTGCCTTCGAGAGGGGAAACTCTAAAACATAACAATAGCCAGTATTAACTGGTTGCTTGATGGTGAAAGTGTCAACTAAACATTTATTATTATTATTGTTATTGTTGTTGTTGTTGTTGTTGTTGTTGTTGTTATTATTATTATTATTATTATTATTATTATTATTTATGTTATCTGCTGTTATTCATTTCTTTCATTGCAGCTGGCCTTCCAGTAACTTCATAGTATCTTACCCTGGTTGCCTAAGGAAAAACTACCGAGTTCTGTAGACTATATTTCTTCTGCTGTTCAGGAACTCCTGCATTTGATCTGGTCCTTGTTGACCTATCTGATGATCAATTCTGCATGGGATTTGTTTTGGTTTCTGCCTCCTATTTATTGGGCACATTTAGTCTGGCTCTTCAGCAAAATTCTGTCTGACCTGGGAGATAGTATAAGTCGCAATGCCATCAGCACAACCTTACAGGAGTACTGAAACTCACTACCACAGAAAGGTAATGCCAATGGCATTGGCTGGTATTGCAATGAGTGGCTGATGATATCTCACGGATTCTTAGATTCTTGGATAAAATCCAAACCATTGATGGTCAGGGTGTGTGGTGTAGTGGTTAAGGTGTTGGACTGAAATTCAAGATGTCTAGGTTCTGTTCCCTACTCAGCCACAAAGCTTACTAGATGGCTTTAAGTTCACTTCCTCAAAGGATTGTTGTATGGAAAGGAGAAGGAGTATTCTATAATAATCTGGGTTCCTCTGTAAAATAAAAAAGGAGGGATGTAAATGTAACAACAACCAATTGTTTTGAGTTTGATAGAGCTGGATTAGGTACTATTAGCACTGCCAGAGGCTATGCCTACCATGCTTATGCAGACATTGAATTATTTCAATATCTTCATCATCTGCTTTAAAGTTTTGTGAACAGTCTATGGTCATTATTTTTTTTCCTGTAAACCTGCCTTTGCACTTTCTTCTTTGACTTTCTTCAGTAATTTTTCTAATTCTTTACTATTTTCTGCTAGTAGTATGATGTCATCTGCATATATTAAATTGCTGATTTCCTTCCTCCAATTTTCACAGGTTCTTCCTCCAATGTATTCTAGGGTAGTGTTTCCCAGACTTTGGTCCTCTAGATGTTTTGGATTTCAGCTACCATAATCCTTGACTGTTGGCTAAGTTGTGTCAGGTTTCTGGGATCTGAAGTCCAAAATAAATAGAGGACCAAAGGTTGGGAACCATTGGTTTAGAAGGGTGATAAAATGCAGCCTTTCCTGACCTTCTTGCCACTTGGAAACCAATCTGTTTATCCATATTCTGTCCTGACAGTAGCTTATTGTCCTGAGTATAGATTAAACATTAGGATAATCAAATATGGTGGTACATCCATTTCTTTAAGAGCTACCCATAGGGTTTCATGATCAACACAGTCAAAGGTTATTGTATAAAGCACATGCTGATTTTTGTCTGAAATTCTTTGGTGTGCTCCATTATCCAACATATGTTTGCAATATAATCTCTAGTGCCTCTTCCTTTCCTGAACCCAGGTTGGACATCTGGCATTTCTCACTCCATATATGATAAAAATATTTATTGTAGAATTGCTCTGCTTGCATAGGAAATTAATGCAATGGTCCTGTGGTTACTGCTATCCTTGGTGTCCCCTTTCTTGGGGAATGGAAAGTATATTGAGCTTTTCTAGTCTTTGGACCATTGTTTTGTTTTCCATATTTGTTGACAAATTTTAGTTAGAACTTGAGTAGATTCTGTCTCTGTATTTTGAAGCAGCTCTATTAGTAAACCATCTATTCCTGCTGATTTATTTCTCCTAAATGCTTTGAGTGTAGCTTCTACTTTACTTTCTAAAACTGTAGGTTCATCTTCAAATGAGCCTTGCTTGAATTAATCTACCATCCTTTCATCTCTTTTATATAATTATTCAGTGTAGTATTTCTATCAGCTGTTTATTTCTACTAGGTCATGTAATGTTTTCCCCTGCTGGTTGTAGAGCATCACCACTCCTGGTTTAAATTCTCCTTTGATTTCTTGGATCTTGTAGAAGAGGTCTCTTGTTCTTCTCTTTTTGTTATCATCTTCTATTTCTCTGTATTGAGTAGTTCTCTTTGACCCTGTACACAAGTCATGGAACAGTTGCAGTCAGGGTTCTGGCTGTTTCTGTTACATTTTACTTTTGCTTCTCATCTGTCCTATATTTCATCTGTCATCCATTGAGACTTCTCTGTCCATTTGGCTTCAAGTGATATCTTTTTGAACTTGTGCCTGGCAGCAATGTCCCTGGATTCAGTCCAAAGTTCCCCTGGCTCTCAGTCAACTAGGCTTAATAGTACAAATCTATCATAATCAGCAGCAGCAGCAGCATCAGCATCATCTTTAAATTCTACAGGGATATTCTTCAGTTGTATTTCAGCATAAAATGGGTGGTTTATTGTTCTTTAGCTTTATTCTAATTTTTGATATTAGCAGTTCATGCTCTGTGCCACATTTGCTCCTGGTGTTGTTTTTGCAGAGAGAATGGAGCTTCTCCACCATCTGCTTCTGACTATGTAGTCTATTTGATTTATATATATTGAGCATCAGATGATGTCCATGTATAATACAGTCACCTCTTCGGTTGTTTGAAGAATGTGTTAGTGATGAATAAACTGTTGGCTTCACAAAATTCAATCAGTTGCTCTCCTGCTTCATTTCTTGATCCTAGGGCAAATTTTTCTGCAGTATTTGATTCTGCTCTATTTCCTACTTTTACATTCAAATCAAGAAGTCCTGTTTTGGCATGTGATCAATTTCCTCTTGGACTCCAGCACAGAATCTTTCAATGTTATTATATTTTTCTTCTCTATAGTTGGAGCATAAGCTTGGATTATAGTTATATTGATGAGTTTTTCTCTGAAGTCTTATTGATACTGTTTGGTCAGTCTTTGTATTATATCCTTTGACTGCTTTTGCTGCACCTCTCCTCACTAATAATACCATTCCGTTCCTTCTTAGATTTTCAATTCCTGGGTAAAACACTTTCATTATCTGACTGAAAATATCCCATTCCTGTTCACTTCAGTATGTATGCCTCAAGAATTGCAATAGTGATATGTTTTGACATTGACCATCTGTCAGGAGTGCTTTGATTGTGTATTTCTGCATGGCATGGGGTTGGACTGGCTGGCCTTTGTGGTCTCTTCCAATTCTATGATTCAATTCATTTCTTGTTGTATTATGTTTAGCTTCCTGGATTCATGCTTTTAACAGTCCATGTTCATGTAATATATGTTGTGCAGCTTCAGACTTTCTTTTCACATCTGAGCACATCAGCAGCTGAACTTCCCTTTGGCTTGAGTCCAGACGTGTCATTGCAGTTGTCCTCTGGCTGTACCCCAATAGCTCATTGAATGCCATGTGATCTGGGAGTTTAATCTTCTGGCACTATCTCTTGTTTTATTTTGGATTGTCTCATCATAGGGTTTCCAAAAGGGTTTTACTGTGCTTCCTTCTGCACAGTAGTAAGAAGTGTTAGCTATGTTGGAGTATTAGCATCAATGCTTGTGTGTAGTTCTATGTT